TACTACCTAGATTTTAGGACAAATTTATAGCACGAGCAGTACTGGAAAATCTAAGTATCGGGAGACCGGTGTGTAATTGCTAATGTTGTAGGGCTCTCATTAAAAATTAAAAAGAAAAATATTTCTATTTATGATCACCTATATAGGTACATAATATAGTGAATTGCATATATATTTTTCACGGTGTTTGATGAAAGTGGAAATGATTTTAAAAAAGAAACATTTCAACAGTATTATGGCTACCTCACGTGGTTCATGACGCGCATGTATCGCAATAAAATATCGAGTCACAAGCTCGTAGGAATAAGACCGAGTCCATAACAACCTAAAATAAACGGGTGCTGACAGTTTCTTAAAATTAATTAATYTTTTCTCTGCCGTAACTCGATATGGTAAATAATTTTATTTCCTTACAAAGTTAGAAAAACTATWTGACATCGACCGGCCAAGGCTTTTAAAACTACCTCAACCTCGGAGYTTCGATGAGTTGCACCGGCCACCTTTTCTGCAACCCTAAGCACCACTGCTATACATAATTATATCGTAAACCTGCAGCGCGCCTATATAAACATAATAATATGTATGAAAACATTGTTTACGTCTCGGGTTCCGGCGAAATGCCCAATGGAGAAACGCGGTGGTAGGTGGGAGATTTCGTTTTTACGGCTCACAACTATTTAGGACTTCGTGAAGCGGGAACGATTAGGTATGCATTAAAAAAAAAARAAGAAGAAGCAAATCACGAAAGGTCAGCGGCCAAAGCGCACTAGATGAAAATTTAATTATTAAAAATCCAAATAGGGTACCACGGTACCGGTACCTGTAGGTACCATAAAATTATTATTGCGGAATGTGTAGCCGTATTATTATTGTTATTGTACGATGAATAGTGTTATTATCGACCGGGGAAATGTCCGACGACGAAAATAAAAATATTATTATTTATTATTATCATGGTTGTGTGCGGCGATATCACTCTACATAGTGGCGTTATTTAATATTTTTCGAGCTTTTTCTTTTATTTATATTCAATGTTTTAGTTCACAGTCGTTTTATTCAAATTTAGTTTTTAATTGATGATAATAAAAAAATATGCATTACCTATGTATAAAAGCTCCATTTTTTGAGCATATTATAAAATAACTAATGGACAAATCATGTTTTAAAATTATTAAACAATCCACCTATATTGTATTAATATTAACACAAAGAATTGTGAGGTTAAACTAACCACATCATTGTACCTTGAATTTTGAAGCAATGCTCAGTATCAACAATTTTTCTATTACTTAAAATCAAGTAAGGCACGAATTTCATATATAAACAATTATTTTTTAACCTACTACGAAAGTTTAATAATAACTTACAGTATTTTGCTTCTCCATCACCATTTACAACCTTCCTAAAATATAAGTTTTGCTCAACTTTCTCGTGTTGAATAATCTAAGTAGAAAATTTAATAAGTACTCGTAATATACATTATATGGATATAATATTACCTATATTATAACGATTTACAGATAACTGAGTCAGCATTTATGTCGCACTCGAGGAAATTGATTAGTAAGTTTAATAGAACATTGCAAGAACTTAGAGTACGAGCAAATTATATATTATTGGCATAGCCAATCAATCGAGCCTGGATCACTATGTAACGGACAAAAGACGTTTTGACATTTCTTATAAATGGCATTAACATTTGGATTTACTAAAAGTATAACCTACCTCATACATAAATCATAAAAATTCAATTGTTTCAACTCGAACTATTTTACTCATGTGATCTTCAATATACCACCCTTAAAAACAGAGTGATACTCAGGTGGTAGCAGGGCCGGTCTTAGGGAACTATGAGCCCTGGGCAAGGAAAATTAATGCGCCCTCTGGTCCAGGTTAAGTATTTTTTACTCAGAAGTTAGAATAAAAAACAAACTATTTTAATTAATTTTTAAAATAAGTCATTTTTATTATAATAATATTAATAAGTATATATTATTTAATATGTAGGTAAGTATGTTTATATTCAAATAATCTTCATATATTTAGTGGAACTTTTTGTGCTTTATTCTCTGCAAATTCATTTACCAATGTTGTCCAATCGAAATTTTCAGCAATATAATTTTTAATAGATAAGATTGCAAGTGATGACAATCTTTCATCACCCATAGTTTCTCTTACATATGTCTTAATTAGTTTAAGTTTCGAAAAACTACGTTCTCCAGATGCAACTGTAACAGGAATTGTCAAAAGAATCCTAGTGCTATCCACACATTTGAAAAAATTTCTTTTATGTCAGTATCCAGTATATACTGTGAGACCTGTTTTGGCGCCTTATATTCTAGTGGTAAAATTTGTCGAAGATGTATTAATTCATTTGTGAGGTCTATGCCATTAATATCTGATTGTTGGGCTTCTGACAATTTTAGATGAAGAACCATACAGTCAGTAAGAAGCTCCGTTTTTCCTGGTAACTTATCAAATTTATATAAAAATCCCAAAATACTTTTGTATTCGTTAGTCTGTGACAGCTATGGTTTTTCTCAAGATAATTTTTAATTTTTGCTATACATTATTGTATTTACTCGAATTATTAAAAATAATTTGAATTTATAAAAACTATTATTAAAAAATTAATATCTGAACTCAGAAAGCGCCCATAACATATTGGCGCTCTGGGCGGTCGCCCAGCTCGCCCACCCCTAATACCGGCCCTGGGTGGTAGTGTATCATAATATTATTATTATTCAATCATTTAATAAACCTTGTATACTTTACTATATCGTGTTCAATTGTATCACTCCATGAATACAGGTCATACATTTCTAAGACCTGCAAAATATAGCTTAGAAAACATTATTTATAATATCGATCAAATAACCTGATTCTAAAAAACAGTTCGTGTAATATGAACTAACTACTCTTTAACCCTTTATAGATCAGAACAAAAAATATCACGAGATTGATCTGAAGTTTGGTATACATAATGTAGTGTGGAGTACTCTGATTTTTGGGAAAATATTGAAAAATTTTTAATTCATTTTGCATGGTTAGAAAAATGGTGAGAAAATAGTTTCCCTTTATTATGAAACATTAAAAACACAACCTTTGAAATAGTTAACAGCATTTCTAAATGCATATCACTAGAAATTTATATAAAATTAAATTTAAAAAAAAAAAAAAAACAATTGAACCTATACTTACTTAGTTGATTTAAAAATCACAATATTATTTTTTATTACTCAGTAAAATTATTTTCATATCCTTATAAATATGTAATAAAACTAAAGTTGATTAAAATAAATAATAATAATTATATATCTTTAGAGTAAAAATCAACAACCTGATACATCTTTAATAAAATAAAACATAACTAATCTCATGTTAATAAAATAATTCAAATAGTTTACAATAATAGTTAACCTAACTTAGGATTTGGTATGAATATCGACAGCCGCTTTGTTTAAATCAATTAAGGAGATAGGCATGTTAAAACTTGCAGTACATAGATTATATCATGTACACAGCTTGACGATTTGAGTATGGAAGCCCTCTATAATGCTACATCAACTTAATTATACACATATATGACCCATAATCTATAATTATACTATAACTATGCAGGAACAGAACATTTGGCCCTATCGATAGCTTATTTTACCAGTTAACTTAACAATGTATTTAATCATCTTATTGTTTGCTCAAATTCGTATCTCACTGGTTCGCAATAATAATTATCGTTTGATTAAAAAATACCATTTTTGTATATTACAATATTATGTTTTCCAGAAATATAGAGCTTTGCAGACGCCATGACCGGCTGACTTGACGTCTCGCATCTGGAACACCGATTTTATAACAAATAATAATAATAATACTATAATCTATGAAAGAAAATCGTTCATTAAGAAATTATTAGTGTAGGCTATAATATTATAGCCTACACTAATAATTATCGTTTGATTAAAAAATACCATTTTTGTATATTACAATATTATGTTTTCCAGAAATATAGAGCTTTGCAGACGCCATGACCGGCTGACTTGACGTCTCGCATCTGGAACACCGATTTTATAACAAATAATAATAATAATACTATAATCTATGAAAGAAAATCGTTCATTAAGAAATTATTAGTGTAGGCTATAATATTATATCCGGACGCGCATAACGAACTTTCGATTTGGCTATTAATCATATTTGTTAAATACAAGACGCAGCTTGCGAAGAAGGATTACGATTATAAACCATTTATATTATTTTAGTTTAGTATTCACGTTTATTTCAATTCGGTCGTATTATTTGTATCGTAGGCGTGAATTAAACCGAATTTTTGGAAGGATTTTGGTAGGTACACCCCTATCATGTTGTCAAATAAATGACGTGGAGGTCATGTCCTCCATATATCTATATAATATTCAACAAATTCTAAAAGCTAAAAACCATTTTTATAATATCTTTGTTGTATATTATGTTTCAGACCAAACTACACTATTTAGTATTTAGGTACCACGATATTTATATTATGTAACTGACAAAAATTTCATCAAAGTTCATTACTAATATAGTCGAGAAATCTATTAACCATGAATTATGATCTATGATTTTTCAGAATAAGCAGTACCTACTCTAAAAAGTAAAATTATAAATACCAAGTAATATTTTACCTTTTACATTTTAATTACGACTATACTGGTTATAATTACTGAATTTCAGACAAAATTCATAAAATTAAATAGGTACCTACTAGCTAAAATATTTGTCGAGGAGTTGATAGGTATTATTTGACTTTACCAAGTCCCTAAACTTCACCAGCTTCCCTACGTTTAACATATTTTCACCAATTATTATTATAATTTATAGGTAGGTACTAGTATTTTTTTTTAGAGTGTACCACGAAGGCTAAAATATACCGTAAATGTAATTAATTTTGCTTTTATCAATATTTAATGTTTATATTATATTTTAATATATTTTATAATTGACAAGAATCATATTATTTCAAAATTTAAAATAAACACTTAAAAATGAATACAAATTAAAGCGTATAGGACGTGGATGTAGTTATAGTTTGTTGTATATGTCTGTTAWAGTTTTATTTCTATTTCACTTTGTATAACTTTAAATCACAATGTTTTAAATCGCAAACAGAACCACTTCAATCTTATCTGCTGTTACTCATCAATAAAAAGAGTCTTCTAGATAAACACGTATAAATATTATGTCATTTTGTTACTATGACGTGACATTATGATTTAAATATTAAAAATTTATCTCAAAAACATGTTATAGGTATATGACGTAAAGTTATAATTTAATACAATAATTTTAACATTAAATCGATCAAATACGTATTATCTAATAATGGTCATATGGATATTGGTTAAAATGGAATATTTCTATATATTTCTATGAAAATTCTTTATATTATTGAATATTTATATTTAATTAAGTAACAGTATAAATTATAACGACCCACCGTCTCACTACTCTACACTTAATATTAAATGTCTAAAAAAATTAAAATAATTATAATTATATTTATATTTCCCTTCAAAAATATATGTATATATATTTTTTTTAATGTAAATTTAATATTTAACTTTATGTCGAGTTATTCATTTACTGCACGTTTTTTTATATTATACAATATTACATAAAATAATGATATTTATTTGTTAAGATGTATATTTTAGTTATATGAGAAAAGTGGATTTTAATTTATTTAATTGTATTAACTATGTAATAAATTCGTATTTCTTTGATCCAAAATTGCCATTAATAATAATTATGAACTTGTGGGCCACCACACGAACATTTCCAGTTCCGTCCATCATCTTCTTGAAGAATAAACAAAAATAAAAATAAAATAATATTATGTATTTTTAATGCGTTTCGAATGTTTCTTTCGTGGTAACCTGCAGAAGTGATATAAAGATTTGGCATGACAAAAAGATTGTGTGTGCAGCTGCAAATCATGTATGTTTTAGGCACTACGAGAAACAATAATAATAGGTAAAATAAAGATTTAAGTTTTTTTTTTTTTAAATTAATACATATATTTTTTTTCATGAAAACTATGTAAAAAATATTACATTTTGATGATAGATTTAATTTTTTTTAAATAGAGGTCATCGTCAGGTCTTGAGTTCTCTGCCTTGGCCGGATCGTGATCGGGTAGCCGTCAGCTTTTTTCGCAAGCAAATCCATCTGTAATTCGATCTCCGACAATTTACAGTCCGTATGCACACTGTAATGGCGCAAAAGTGCCACCATCATTAACTTCATGGAGATCATTGCGTACTTGACACCTGCGGGGAAAACGATCAGTAGTTGTAACACTCATATATTCAAGAAACAATAATATAATTGAATGTCATACGGATCAATGTAACGTCTTGTCACAAGACTAATAATCATGTTGTTTTTTTTCAAAATTCGATTTTCACTAATATTTTCGACTAGATATACCTACTGCGATATGGCCTAAGATATTTATTTTTTCTTATTTTTTTAGCGTCCCCACAACAACAAAAAAAAGCACTTAAAGCACTTAGTATCAGCTGATCTTATACTAAATAGGAATTTCTTCTTGTCCCGCTAATGACATAACGACCAATTTTTAGTTCGTTCAGATTAATTGAATATTAACTATCTAATATAATTAAACTCAAATTTTAAATTTAATCCATATTTTGTAGAAGATTTTTATAGATCTATTTATCAAATACCTATATATATTTTGAGATTCAAAAAATTGAAAATTCATAATTCTAACTACAAATTATTAGTTGAAATTAATAGTTTGAATGAACATTTTTTTTATTGCATAACAGACCTGAAAGGGTAAATTTTTTTCACAATTAAGACGTATTAATGCCTCGTAAGTTAAGTTTAAACAAAAATCGAATCTATTTAAACTAATTCGAAAAAAATCCGTTTCATGTAACTATGTAAGAAGGCAAGACAAAGCAAATTTTCAGGGCTTTGGGCTCAAATCATTTATTCAGATTTCGGATTTTTGGTTTCTGGTGCTGGATGTGATTGGTTGTTTAGACCCCAGGATAAAATAAACATAAGAGTTAATATTTGGGTTAATGTGGACGTTGAATAGTCCAGGAAAAACTAAATTTTAAAACTACGTAAGTGCATGTTTTRATTATATTATT